TACCCGCCCCCGGGCACGCGGGAGGGCTGCCGGCAGCACCAGCGGGGGCCCCGACTCACCACGATCCGCGTCTCGTTGGCCGGCAGCGTGTCGATGGCCAGGCTGCCCCCCACCAGGTCCTGGCTGATGCGGGTCCCCTCGGTCCCCGGCGAGGTCTCCCGAGCTCTCCGCCGCCCTTCGCCCGCCGCCGAGCTCCCGGGGGCGCGTCCTGGAGTGGCACGGGGATGGGTCGGTGGGGTCCCACACTGGGAGGGCACCCGCCTGCGGGCTGGGATCAGCCCTCTCCCCCAGCAAGGCAGCTTCTGCTTAGGTGACACGAGTTTGGGGGGGTGGGTGTCTCAGCCCTGATAAGCAGCATCACCACGATGACGGAGACACAGGGAAGGACTTCTCAGGTCAGGGATGGCTACGGGGTGCAGGGACGGGTGATAGACACCCACGGCCAGGGGAGGAGAGCTGGGATGGAGGGGTGAAAGGAGGCAAAACACCTAAACCCCGCTCCAGCTCGGTGCGCACCCCACACATGCCAGCGCACGGGGAGGAGCGCGAGGCCACGGGGATGGGGAAGATGCGGCTTCAGCAATGGGGCACCAGCGTGGCCGCGTCCTCGATGTCCCCAGCCATCGGTCCCCTCCTCCGGGCTGGTTTGGGGTCCGGGTGCCAGAGCAGACTCCAAGCATCCGTCTCCAAAAGAAACATGTCCCTCATCCCCTCTTGTCGCGTCTCTCCCTGCCCGGCTCCAGCCCTGGGGAGTGAGCAGAGGCCAGAAACACGGCACAGTGTTGGGGGGGGCGGGGGATGAAAAAGCCACTTGGGACCAAATCTGCAGAGATTCATGAGATTTCCTGGCAGCTCGGCAGGGGCGGAGGCGGTGCGGACGGCACACGCTCGCCCACAGGCAGGGACAGAGCCAGGACGTCTGTGCCCAGTGAGTGGGACAGCAAAAACAGCCCATGGGGCCGCAGGCTGCTCCCCTCGCCCTTGGGAGAGAGCTCCCGCCGTCAGCCCGGGGTCCTGGGGGGGCAGAGGGAGCTAATTGCTGCCTAACGAGCTCCTGGTCCCCTCCTGAGCTGTCCTGTGGGGCTGCTTTCTGTCCCCAGCGCCTCCGGGAGGGGAAACCGAGGCAGGGGGGAGTGGGGCTGGGCTGTCAGGAGCAGGCAGCCGGCGGGATGCACCCCCACTGCTGACAGATGGGGAAAGGGGTTCCGTGGTTGGGGGTCGTGCTCACCTTCCCTAGGGGCACTGGGGGGCCCCAGCCCCCCGCTGCTGCTGGGAGGTCTGAGGTGCCCCAGGGAGCAGAGAAGGGGTTCCGTGGTTGGGGGTCGTGCTCACCTTCCCTAGGGGCACTGGGGGGCCCCAGCCCCCCGCTGCTGCTGGGAGGTCTGAGGTGCCCCAGGGAGCAGAGCCCTTCCCGCAGGCAGGGCTCTAAGGAGCCCCCCACGGAGGCTCCAGCGTCCTCCCCAAAATCTCGCCGGACAGCTGCGCCCACAGCAAGCGCAG